TGTGTGTGTGTGTGTGAGAGAGAGAGTGTGTGTGTGTGTGTGTGTGTGTGTCCCTGGTATTTATCACGTTATGGGGACCAGATGTCCCCACAAGGATAGTAATACTAGTACATTTTGACCTTGTGGGGACATTTTTGAGGTCCCCATGAGGAAACAAGCTTATAAATCATACAGAATGAGTTTTTTTGAGAAAGTAAAAATGCAGAAAGTTTCCTGTGAGGGGTAGGTTTAGGGGCAGGGTTGGTGTAGGGCAATAGCACATACAGTTTGTACAGTATAAAAACCATTACGCCTATGGAATGTTCCCATAAAACATGGAAACAAAATGTGCGTGAGTGAGTGTGTGTGTGTGTGTGTGTGTGTGTGTGTTTGTACTCACTGATGTTACAGTATTGTCCATTATATCCAGATACACATCCGCACACCTCTTCACCAGTGGCCTCAATCATCCTGCAGACTCCGTTATTTTCACAGCGATTTCTCGAACACACTAAACACACACACACACACACACACAGAAAGAAGAATGTGTAGCAGGAATACAGCAGTAACTGCGGGTGATCAGGTGTCAGTTGTTTATTTACCCGTGTAACGCGCACGCTCGCAGCTCACCCCTCCACTGAGGCACGTGCACAGCTCTACGGAGCGCAGGTAGATCCGTCCCCACGAGTCTCCGGTGTCATAGTACTTCAGATGCAGCGGCTCGTAGCACTTCTCTACAAAAAAAAAACCACAGAAGCGAACCCGAGCATCAGAACACACCCTCCTGGCTCTCCCACCCATCAGAACTCGACCGATATCAGATGACTGACAAAATAAAGGACACAAAACCTTCACGGATCACAGGACATGTGATAGCGTTAAAGATGAGAGCTTTTCAAAACATAAAAGGGAGAGACACATGAATGGAGACCAACATGTGATTCTGTGCTAGAAAAATGAAGCTCTAATACTCACGTTAGTCACTGTTATGCTAATGATCATTACTGCAGACTATAATACTCTTAATGATACCCAAAAAGAACTTAGATGGAACTATAATTAATTGTTTCAGAAATAAACAAAATATGTATATTAGATAGATACACTTAATTGCATGTTACACTTAATTGCACGTTAATTGCAATTAAATGAAAATGTATTAATTTAAATAGATATTAAATGCAATTAGTTGAACTTTGTGTTTTTGACCCACTTAAGTAGGACTTAAGTGCATCTTTATATGTAATTATTATCTTTGAAATATGGATAAAGTACTGCTGAATGTATTAACAAGCATTTATGATAAACTAAAATATACTTTAATACAAGTTTCAAAATTATTTAAATGTTTTTTTGTAATGTGTAATGACGCTATGAAGTAATTTAGAACATTTAAAATACATTAACTTTAGTACATTTAAAATATATTAACTTGTGTAATATATTTACTATAATAGTAACTCATGTAAAATCGAATAACACACTACAGTTAAAATTATAATTAGGTATTTTTTTATGTTGTTCAGTATGTTAGTCAACACGTCAAAATAAGTGTACTTGAAAACATGACAAAAGATTATTAAAACAATGATTTAAAATGTACTTTAAAGAAACTTTTAATATGACATTATAACAAAGCTCACTTTTTAAAAGTGTACTTAAGTGTGTTTAGAAACAGTCTCTCTTTAAGTCACTTAAGTGGTCTTTTATTTCATTCATATATTATCTGCAAGTACAGATTTTCTAAAATAAACTTTTAAGATTTGAAGTACACTACAAGTGCCCACCAAAAAGTCATAATCACACTGTATTTATCAATGCTTTATATAAATATGTCCTCTGTGTGTGTGTTTGACTCACTCTTTTCACACAGAGCTCCCGTGAATCCATCCGGACAGACACAATCGAATGAGTTCAGATGAGCGGCCGTCGCACAAACGCCTCCATTTAAACATGGGTTCTGCCGACAGAGACTCGACCCGCGACGCGGAGGAAGAAACCCTGAGCAGAGGAGGAGATAAATACAGCTAAACTCGCTTATCATCATGACTGGAGAGCTGACTCAATGTGCAGCTGAGTTCACTCACTTCACAAACGCCGAAGGAGTCACTGAGTCATATAACGTATCTGTTTTACAATCATAAACAATGCAGTCTGCATCACTCTCAACCACAATTACAGTTAAATACAGTACAGAAGCGTTTCTGGCCATTCAACCTCACAGAGCACATTGAGTATTGAATTCATTTGATAATTAAGTTAAAAGTCTAAAGTCTTGTATTGGGGAACCAAATATGCCACTAGTGATCTTTTAAACAAGCAGTGCATGACGTTCCTGTTTATGAGCGTATACACACGCAGTGTCTTTGAACCAGAGCACAAACTTTGTGCATCTGCTGTTGTAAACATGGAGGTCTGGTGGAGCGCATCTCACAAACAAAGCGTGTCATTTATGCATGAACATAAACAGCTCCCTCTGAAAGTCAAACATCCTGGTAAACCCACACTTTCTGCCATGAATCCATCCAGAGCGAGAAGTGTACTCTTGACCACAGACGTTATACCTTTAATGACTTTGTTGGCAATGCAAAACAAAGCAGTAAGGTGAATAATGCAATGCTTTTAGATGATTTTTTGGCCATTACGTTTCTTTAGCAGCCGTTACGAGTAGTTTTGAGTTTAATTTTAAAAACTGTTTAAGTTTAGTTATGTTTAAAACTGTTTAATTCACTTCCATGGAGTGTTAAGTAAAACGGTCAAAAATTGTTACAAATGTTTTATTTTAGATTTAAGTTTTAAATTATTTAAGCTTCGACCGAAATGAGTTTAAGTTGAAGTACTAAAATTACTAAAACTGAAATATAATTTATAAATATAACTGTAAATTAAAATACAAAATTAAATATAGATATATAAATACATGTATAACATAATGAAATATAATTTTATAAATTAATGTCACAATATAGTTATTTTTGCTTTTAAATAATGTCTCTATGATGTAAAAAATGTCGATACCGTAGAAATTTCATAATTCTTCTCACCAGTGTTAATATCACAAAAAACAAAACAAAACGAATACTAGCCTAAAAAAACCTCAAGCTCACTGAAGACAAGTAAACAGACAGCGATTCAATAAGAATAAGAAACGAATTACAAACAATAGGACACAAAAACTATAAGAAATACTACATACGTTGTATAAAGTGATCAAATGTATAAAAACACTTTCATTTTATTAAAGTTAAAAAAGTGATTTAGTCAAGAACAGCGAGAGATTTGTTCTCTTTTGTTGTTTGATTAACTTGAAAGACAGACAGCAGGAATATTAGACTGCTGTCACTTTAAGAGCTGCCTGGATCCAATATACTGTTACACATGCGTTTTCTTGCTCAGCTGTTTGCTTTCACTTAAACCTAAATTACTGTGTTATGTCGATACTTGCAAAGACGGGCATTTTGACATACATGTGTGTGTATTTAACCGTTCAAGGCCTATAAAGCAGCAAAAACAACTCTGTTCAATAATTCCACGCTCTATGAGACTCAGCGTGCATATATAGCGAAATGAGTTCTCGTTCACTGCTGATTGCATTTCAATGGCTTAAAATCACTTGTTTTTTTAAATCCAATGCTTAAAAATGTGTGCAAACGCTAAGTGTTCCTGACCATGTTACGTGAGCGTGTAACTGTGATCAAAATCTCTCTTGACAAATTTCTACTGGTTAATTGTGTCTACTGGTATATCGCCCACCCCTAAGATATTTGTTAGCAAATATTGGTGTTTGGTGTTATATGCATATGTGACCCTAGAGCACAAAGCCAGTAATAAGGGTCAATTTTTTGAAATTGAGATTTATACACCATCTCAAAGCTGAATAAATAAGCTTTCCATTGATGTAAGGTTTGTTAGGATCGGACAATATTTGGTCGAGATACAACTATTTGAAAATCTGGAATCTGAGGGTGCAAAAAAATCTAAATATTGAGAAAATCATCTTTAAAGTTGTCCAAATGAAGTTCTTAGCAATGCATATTACTAATCAAACATTAAGTTTTGATATATTTACAGTAGGACATTTACAAAATATCTTCATGGAACATGATCTTTACTTAATATCCTAATGATTTTTGGCATAAAAGAAAAATCTATAGTTTTTTTGGCTATTGCTACAAATATACCCCAGCGACTTAAGACTGGTTTTGTGCTCCAGGGTCACAAATAAATAACTTTATTGTGTTCATTTAGTTAAACTATCACACGTCATGGTTGTTTTTAACTAGATTTTACTGTGCTTCATTTTATTAAACATCACACGTTTTGAATCTAATTGGCGATAATTACTGTTTGGTTCCTCAGACTGCTAAGAAATCAGAGCAGATACTAGAGATGACATATCGAATGCAAGCTCTATCTTTACAGATGGACGTAGCAGAAAGACGGCTGGCTTAATAGTTTTAATGGGAAAGAAAAGATGAGTTCTCACCATTAAAGAGTCGTGCTTGTGAACTGCAGAATCCCCACTTCTGGTCGCGGTCAAAGTTGTGTGTGAGAGAGCACCTATAACACAAGACCAACCGCAAACACAATGAGCCTGACACACTCCAGACCTGAGTAGAGATCAAACAGAATAAAACCAGGGTCACAAACACCAATATGAACCGACTGCATGAATTATTCTTATTCTTGACAAACACAAACAAAACTATAAAAAGCTAAAGGCATGACTACAGTGAACATCAGTTCACACGCAATGAGAATGAACACAGCTTCCACCGACCACAATGTGTTTTATTATTTATTGGTTGCTGAGAGCATTAAAAATTCTGTCATTATTTACCTTCATGTCGCTGTTATTTGTTCAGTGGAACACAGAAAGATACATTTCATTTGAACGTCATGTTGTATTGACCACCATTGTGAAACAGAAGTGTGCTTAATTGTACTGAATGTGCACTTGCACTGCACTTCAAATCTTACACATATGTTTAAAAAAAGAAAAACTGTACTTGCAGATACTAATATTATTGAAATAAAAGGCCACTTAAGTGACTTGAAGAGAGACACTTATGACTATCATGATGTTTTAATAATCTTTTGTCATGCTTTAAAGAAGTACACTTATGATTACTAGAGCACATGTAAAGTACTTCATTATAATTTGAACTGTAGTGTGTTATTCAATATTATATTTAAGGTTAATATATTTCAAATGTAATAAATTGCAACTTCCTCATTGCGAATGTGTAGTTACAAATATGTAATAATACAAATATACTGTATATTTAAATACATGGCATACACGTTTCAACATAAATTACATTAGGTAAAGATAGACTTAAGTTCTACTTAAGTGAGTCAAAAAAAAAACACGCAGCTTAAAATTTCAGCTAATTGCGTTTAATATAAATTTAAACTATAATACATTTTTATTGCATTGCAAATAACACGCAGTTAAGTGTCTGAAAACACTACATTAAGTTCAAACTTAAGTATATTCGTTTAAAGTATATTATTTACTTAATGAGAACTCTTGTTAAAACTATGCTGAAGTTCACTGTCGAGGTCAAAAATGGACAAAAAAAATTGATTGGTGAAGCAAACCAATCAGACGGACCAAAATTTAAGAAGTGAACGAATCACTATTTTGTGCTGATTCAGTGAATCAGTTGATTCAGTTCACGAATCAGACTAATCTGCTACTGACTCAGTGATCCATCTGCAATGGTTTCAACGGAAGAGAAGATTATCAGTGAATAATGACTTTTCAGTCTGCTCTTCGCAAAAAGCATCTTATGATTCATTACAAGTAACACAAGTACATGATCAGCTTTTTTCAAGTATCTAAAGTAACGCATTTACATTTACAAGAAAATAACTGAGTTACTTGTTCAAATAAGTAACAGAAGTTACTTTGTTTTCCCATTTACCCACTGACAGCTCTCCTGTCGCCGTGTTGAGAAAAATTGGGAGTGAGGTGCAAAGGCGCTTTCTTCAGCATTTATTTTTGGTGTGAAAGGGCCACCTTTCTCGTTCCCTACTCAGGGAACCATGGTTACATAAGTAACCTGAGACGTTTTAGTTTACTATAATAACTAAAGATCTGGTTTGAACTGGTTAATGTGGGTTAACCGCCTCAAACCAGATCTTTTGCTATCCCAAACAGATCCTCAGAATCCAGTTTTGGTCTGTCAGACCTACGACTGAGCTCGGTTATGATCTGATTGCATTTCCTCGGCTGATTTGTTGGTTGGTTAAACAAATACACATGGATCTGAGAGTAGTACACTATTATTGGTAACCCGAAAACATCAAATTAGCCAAACTATTCAATAAACAAACACATTCTACGCATGCAGATTCTTTGCGAGTCTGGTTGTGATTTAGGCGTCTGTATGAGCTGCAGATTTGGGCTTTGAGATCATTTGGCATTAAGACCTGAGACTGGGTTTGATGGTCAGCGGATTAAGGGTTATTTCTCTGCCATTGCTGTATGTAACAAAAAAATAACAGTTGAGGGACGCATGCATACTGTAGATGTGTGTTAGCACTTACCAGGCTTTGTGAGAGTTCATAGAGATACACTGGTGATAAATCACCCCGCCGAAGCGAAAAGGAAACTTGCACTCTTTGCCATCTGTTGTGAGAACTACAACACACACACACACACACACAGACACACACACACACACACACACACACACACACACACACACACAAACACACACACACACACACACAGAAACACACACACACACACACACACACACACATACACACACAAATCCAATAAACCAAGAGCTATTAGAAACAGAAACTGTTTCTAAAAAAAGCAGTTCATACATTTACATTTAGTCATTTAGCAGAGGCTTTTATCCAAAGCCACTTACAAATGAGGACAATAGAAGCAACCAAAATCAACAAGAGAGCAATGATATGCAAGTGTTTTAACAAGACTGATAGCTTAATGCAGTACACGTAGCAAGGTTTTTTTTATTTTTTATTGTATAATACATTTTTGCATTTTGTTAATTGTATAATAAATAAAAATAAAACAGATAGAATGCAAAAAGATTAGAGAAGCAAGTGTTTTTTTTTTTTTTAAGAAAACAAGCAGTTAGTAAATAAATAGAGTGCAAGTCTAAAAGTCTTCATACCTTTCTCAGTTACAGTGTTGGACTGTCCGGAAAATAATATATTAATACCAGGTGTCTGCTTGCGCTTTAGAGAGAGAGAGAGAGAGAGAGAGAGAGAGAGAGAGAGTATGCCAAGTTGTACACCAAATTACAAGCATTCAGCAAACCTCATGCGGGACACTCACCGATCCAGCACACCGCAAACGGGGCAATAAAACAAGAGTTATCAGGAGAAGAAGAAGGAACTCTCGACGAGTCAGAACTGGAGAAAACACAGGCATTTCTGCACGAGCTCTGCTCCCTCTGCGCGCCAGATCCTTGGACGAGTTTCACCAGGACTCAGAGCAGATGAAGTCCGTCCCAAAAGCAAGTGTCATGTGTGGGATTCCTCCATTATATCCCGGCGCGATGGATGGATGCGTGGAGGCGCGCGCGGGAGTTCCCACGAGAAAAGCCTGATCACACCTGACGCAGCGCGAGCCGGTGATGCAATCCCGATCCTCAGGCTTTGATTTCGGGCTGGTTGTCAGTGACGACGGTATCCACCCACCTTTGATGTTGCGCGACAGAGAGAGAGAGAGAGAGAGAGAGAGAGAGAGAGTGAGAGAGAGTTTGCCAAGTTGTACACCAAATTACAAGCATTCAGCAAACCTCATGCGGGACACTCACCGATCCAGCACACCGCAAACGGGGCAATAACACAAGAGTTATCAGGAGGAGGAGAAGAAACTCTCGACGAGTCAGAACTGGAGAAAACACAGGCATTTCTGCACGAGCTCTGCTCCCTCTGCGCGCCAGATCCTTGGACGAGTTTCACCAGGACTCAGAGCAGATGAAGTCCGTCCCAAAAGCAAGTGTCATGTGTGGGATTCCTCCATTATATCCCGGCGCGATGGATGGATGCGTGGAGGCGCGCGCGGGAGTTCCCACGAGAAAAGCCTGATCACACCTGACGCAGCGCGAGCCGGTGATGCAATCCCGATCCTCAGGCTTTGATTTCGGGCTGGTTGTCAGTGACGACGGTATCCACCCACCTTTGATGTTGCGCGACCGAGAGAGAGAGAGAGAGAGAGAGAGAGAGAGAGAGAGGTCGGGGCAGACATTCATTCATAGCCCGACAATCCACAGCAGATGAAGTCCGTCCCAAAAGCAAGTGTCATGTGTGGGATTCCTCCATTATATCCCGGCGCGATGGATGGATGCGTGGAGGCGCGCGCGGGAGTTCCCACGAGAAAAGCCTGATCACACCTGACGCAGCGCGAGCCGGTGATGCAATCCCGATCCTCAGGCTTTGATTTCGGGCTGGTTGTCAGTGACGACGGTATCCACCCACCTTTGATGTTGCGCGACCGAGAGAGAGAGAGAGAGAGAGAGAGAGAGAGAGAGAGAGGTCGACGCAGTTAATCATTCATAGACCGAAACTCCCAGCAAAGCGCATTCCTCGCCTCCATAAAAGTGTGCATATAAGAGGAGAATGTGATAATAAGAGCCATGGTTATTCTGCGTTATAACAACAACAACAATAATAATAATAATTAGTATATTAGTATTATAATAATGTTTCCACATCAGAACGAGCTGAAATATATAGTTAACAACAAAGAGTAGAATTACGCATCAATTGCTGAGTTTGGCGAGGAGGCCAGCTCTAGGAAGAGTTATGGATAATAGAGGCTACATGCTTCTGTGACTCTTCAATGCAGCAGATTCATTTGTATTTTGTTGAACTCTTCCTCAGATGTGTGGCTTGATGCAATCCTATCTCTGAGCTCTGCGGGCAGTGCCTTGACCTCAGGGCTTGGTTTTCAGCTGTTAGACCTTTTATTGAGAGGTGTGTGCCTTTCCAAATCATACCCATCCAAACGAATTTGCCACAGGCTAACTCCACTCGAAGTGTAGTGACATCTACAAGCAATATGAATGTGCCAGAGCGAAATTGTCCCAGAAATGCAATGCAAACATTTCAGTTTTTTTTTTCCTAGTACATTTGCAAAGTTGTTACAAACCAGTTTTTTGCTTTGTTATTGTGGTGTGTGGAGTGTAGATTGGGGTAGAAGGGGTATGAATACTTTCACAAGGCACTGTATATGCCTATATATATACAGAGAGAGAGAGAGAGAGAGAGAAGAGTAGATTAAATACAAAATAGAAATATGCTATTAAGTCTTTTAGTAAAAAAATAGCAAAATAAAAGTAGAATTACTCACAAAGCTTTCCATTTTAAAATTTGTTCAAATATAGTTGTTGTTGTTAATAATAATAATAATAATAATGTTTCATAGAATGTGTGAGCTAAATAAGAGTATAATTATTTTTTTACAGTTAATACTTATATTAACAAGAAATATAGCTGCTAGCTATATTAAAAATACTTTAAATAAATTAAAACAATTTAAATAAAATAAAATTATAGGCTACAAAATAGAAATATGCTATTAAGTCTTTTAGTAAAAAAATAGCAAAATAAAAGTAGAATTACTCACAAAGCTTTCCATTTTAAAATTTGTTCAAATATAGTTGTTGTTGTTAATAATAATAATAATAATAATGTTTCATAGAATGTGTGAGCTAAATAAGAGTATAATTATTTTTTTACAGTTAATACTTATATTAACAAGAAATATAGCTGCTAGCTATATTAAAAATACTTTAAATAAATTAAAACAATTTAAATAAAATAAAATTATAGGGTGTCTGTGGGAGAGAGAGTGTGTGTGTGTGTGTGTGTGTGTGTGTGTGTGTGTGTGTGTGTGTGTGTGTGTGTGTGTGTGTGTGTTACCAACGTCTGCAATAAAAAACTTCTCTGTCTCTGTCAACTTCGATTATAGCTACTCAGTCATGACACAATTATTTATTAGAAAGATAATTCAGTGCTGATATTTCTTCGACAATATCCATTTATCAAAAAAACTTTCTTTATAATAATTTTATTACGGTTCAGAGAATCATAATCAAATCATAATCATTATGATTATGTCGCATAAAAGTATTAAGAAATAATAATTTTGACAAATAACTTATGTGTTCACATTATCGGGGAAAGTTTCTCAGTATTTTATTTAGTAAAAAAATAAAATAAAATCATGCAGCTTCTCAATAAATAAGCTGCATAAAACCCAGAGAGGCCATAACACTGCTATGCATGCAATGATTAAGAAATGTTGAAATCATTTAGATGAGATAGATATCAAGCCACACTGCAGACCCTCAAGCATTTGATTTGTCCGCCATCTAGTGTTGAGCACATGATCACGCGCTCGAGTAATACAGACTTTCACTTTCGTGTTCATCATTCATTCATTGCTGAATCTAGACAGTTTTCGGTTGTCCTTTCCTGAGAATGAACGGTACTTTCACTCAGAATAACACAGAACTAATCAGATAACAGTCTTCAACTTCGGCTGTTTTTCCTCCGTATCCCGATGCCTGGGAAATTCCGTCGGATGCTGGGAAAGGCTCAGTCAGATTCTAGGGAACCCCTCTGAAGGTGCTTATAAGGCTCTGTTGAAAGCTCTGCGATCAGAAGCTCGAGGGAATCTTCTGCGCACATCTGGATTCACGAGGTGAGCAAACACGCGCTGTGATTTACAGAGACATGCTACAGCTGGCGTCCAAATTAAAGGCGAGCGGAATATATATGATATAAAAGATATATAGCCTATTTTTAAATTGAAAAAAAAAATGCTGCAAGACAAAAAAAATGCTGCATTTTTCATATATATATATATATATATATACATTTACATTTAGTCATTTAGCAGACGCTTACAAATGAGGACGATGGAATCAATCAAAATCAACAAGAGAGCAAAGATATGCAAGTGCTTTAACAAGCCTCAGTTAGATTAGATTAACAGAGTACACGTAGCAAGGGTTTTTTGTTATTGTTCATTTTTATTATATAATAAATAGAGCAAGCTAGTGTTAGAGGCCTTTTTGGGGTTTTGTTAATTGTATGACAAATAAAAAGAAAACACAGGTATTTTTTTGTAAAGAAAACAAGCAGTTAGTAAATGAATAGAGTGCAAGTCTAAAGGGGCAAGTTTTTTTAAAGAACAGAATAAGAATAGAGAGTGCTAGAGTTAGAGGGTCAAATAAAGATGGAAGGGATGTGTTTTTAGCCGATTCTCTGTAATATATATACTGTATATATGGAGAGAGAGAGTCATTAGAAGTTAAGTTATATGACAGGAATCAGCATATTCTCGAGTTTAATATAAATGTGTGTGCATGTGTGTTTGTTTCAGAATACATTTTAAAATATATTTATTTGACGTTTATTTGATATTTATTTGACATTTGTTTTACGATTATGTTAATAGATGCTATAAAACGTGATTCAGCACTCACACATATACACACTCACGCACACACACACACACACACATACACACACACACACACACTCACGCACACACACACACACACACATACACACACACACACACTCACACACTCACGCACACACACACACACACACATACACACACACACACACTCACACACTTACGCACGCACACCCACACACTCACACACACATACACACATACACACATACACACACACACACACTCACACACTTACGCACGCACACCCACACACTCACACACACATACACACATACACACATACACACACACACACACTCACACACTTACGCACGCACACCCACACACTCACACACACATACACACATACACACATACACACACACACACACTCACACACTTACGCACGCACACCCACACACTCACACACACATACACACATACACACATACACACACACACACACTCACACACTTACGCACGCACACCCACACACTCACACACACATACACACATACACACATACACACACACACACACTCACACACTTACGCACGCACACCCACACACTCACACACACATACACACATACACACATACACACACACACACACTCACACACTTACGCACGCACACCCACACACTCACACACACATACACACATACACACATACACACACACACACACACTCACACACACACACACACACTCACTCACTCACACTCACACACACACACACACACAAACACAAACACACACACACTGCTTAACAAGTGTATAAGACCACCAGCACCCACAGCTGCCCTAAACTAAAAGTATTGGTGATTACCATTACCAAAATCATTTTTATGTCTGTAATTTTTTATGTATGTCATTTTTTATTTCTGTAATGTTTAATCCACTAGTATGTGTAAGCTCTTTAGTCACATTAGTAAATGCTAAAATATCAGTATTGTTGTTATCCGTTAATTTTCGAATTTACTGTTTTACAAGAAAGACAGAAACAATAGTAAAGCACTTTATTATTATTATTAATTAGTCAATAAGTACAGTCTAATAAAAGTTTTAAGCTTTGTGCTTAACAAGTTTATTAGCCGCCTGAGAAAACAGAAATATTTTAGGAATCCGTCAAAAACTTGTTTAAAACGAAACATTTGATTGACGTTTATTAGACAAATAACAAGCTGAAACAACTAAATAGTATTTATTCACACAT